GGTCCTATTTTGAGAGCGCCTTGTTTCAAGATATGGATACACTCCTTCAGATCAACAAAATCCGAGCATTTCAATCAATCCCTTGTCAACATGTTGAGTGCTTTAGTGAACAGTCACTTAACGGTTTGGGGTGAACATCTTCCATATACATGTACAATGATGGCATACCCGTTCAACTGAGCAAGAAACCACAAGACACTCGCCCAATCCTTTGCATCCTCGATATCCAGGAGTTACGCTCACTTTCGCTCTCTACACCCCTTTAATATGTCATAGCAAAGTCGAAGGCTTAATATGCAGCACCTTGTGGATGAGAAGACTAGTTTGGTCCTTGGATGTACATCAAAAGAATCTCGCGGTCGCGTAACGGTAAAAAATGACAATCTTTGAAGTCGTACGTGCCTCCTTTGTAATCTTTCAAGGAACAGTATCAGCTTAGTGATTGGTCAGGTTTTTTTACCTGGCACCAATCAAATAGCTAGACGCTTGCCTTCAATTTTGCTATGACTGCGCATAATCCCTGGATATCGAGGATGAATCCTATGATGTTCGGCACAGAAACTAGCACTCTACTAGACACCCAGTTTGAAGACAGATGCAGACCACTCCACAGAATCGGTGTGCATGGCAGCCGAAGTAGCGGATTGAGGAGGTTCATCAGCATGTACGAGGACATACAGAGAACCATGAATCACCAAAAGCGGTACGATTATAGGAAACTTGCCTGAACTTATTTCTGGGGACTTTTTGTCAGTATTCTTCCACAACGTGCATCCGGGGGGAAGGCCGGGAAGGTCAGTGGAGTTACTAACAATGTCAATTGTGGGCAAAAAGGTCGGGTACAAGTGATTCATGCCGATAGAATGAGGAAGAGAGAGACATGTGCAAGTCCTGACTGGTGAGGACCAGAATGGGGTGTCTGGGACAAGAGATGAACACATACAAGTCAATAAATTGTGTTTTGAGAGTAAGGATGAATCACAGAATGATGAAGATGGAATGAAGGTTGAGATAAAGAAACCAGTAAAATTTTCTGATTACGCCTGTACCAGTAATGTGTTCTATCTTGAAGGACCAAAATGCCAAACCAAGAAAACTCTAGTAAACAGAAGGACACTTCGAACTGTGAATGCAATAGCTGTTTAGTTTCCGTATAACTGTAGTCAGACTAAAAGTGGTTTACAATGAGATGAGAATGCAATATAAGTGTAAATCACCTTTAGTCTGTAGGCAGTTGTATCCTAACTATACAACCAATGTCATCACATGTCGTAGTGTAAACCACCTTTAGTCTGAAGGCAGTTGTATCCTAACTATACAATCAATGTCATCACATGTAGTGTAAACCACCTTTAGTATGTAGGCAGTTGTATCCTAACTATACAACCACTGTCAGCACATGTCGCAGTGTAAACCACCTTTAGTCTGTAGGCAGTTGTAGCATAACTATACAATCACTGTCATCACATGTCATAGTGTAAACCACCTTTAGTCTGTAGGCAGTTGTAGCATAACTATACAATCACTGTCATCACATGTCGTAGTGTAAACCACCTTTAGTCTGTAGGCAGTTGTATCAAAACTATACAATCACTGTCATCACATGTAGTGTAAACCACCTTTAGTCTGAAGGCAGTTGTATCCTAACTATACAATCACTGTCATCACATGTCGTAGCGTAAACCACCTTTAGTCTGACGGCAGTTGTATCCTAACTATACAATCACTGTCATCACATGTAGTGTAAACCACCCTTAGTCTGTAGGCAGTTGTATCATAACTATACAACCACTGCCATCACATGTAGTGTAAACCACCTTTAGTATGTAGGCAGTTGCAGCATAACTATACAATGACTGTCATCACATGTCGTAGTATTAACCCCCTTTAGTCTGTAGGCAGTTGTAGCATAATCACATGTCGTAGTGTAAACCACCTTTAGTCTATAGGCAGTTGTATCATAACTATACAATCACTGTCATCCCATGTCGTAGTGTAAACCACCTTTAGTCTATAGGCAGTTGTATCATAACTATACAATCACTGTCATCACATATCGTAGCGTAAACCACCTTTAGTCTGATGGCAGTTGTATCCTAACTATACAATCATTGTCATCACATGTAGTGTAAACCACCTTTAGTCTGAAGGCAGTTGTATCGTAACTATACAATCACTGTCATCACATGTTGTGTAAACCACCTTTAGTATGTAGGCAGTTGCAGCATAACTATACAATCACTGTCATCACATGTCATAGTGTAAACAACCTTTAGTCTGTAGGCAGTTGTATCAAAACTATACAATCACTGTCATCACATATCGTAGCGTAAACCACCTTTAGTCTGATGGCAGTTGTATCCTAACTATACAATCACTGTCATCACATGTATTGTAAACCACCTTTAGTATGTAGGCAGTTGTATCAAAACTATACAATCACTGTCATCACATATCGTAGCGTAAACCACCTTTAGTCTGACGGCAGTTGTATCCTAACTATACAATCACTGTCATCACATATCGTAGCGTAAACCACCTTTAGTCTGATGGCAGTTGTATCCTAACTATACAATCACTCCCCCCACATGTCGTAGCGTAAACCACCTTTAATCTGACGGCAGTTGTATCCTAACTATACAATCAATGTCATCACATGTAGTGTAAACCACCTTTAGGCTGTAGGCAGTTGTAGCATAACTATACAATCAATGTCATCACATGTAGTGTAAACCACCTTTAGTCTGGAGGCAGTTGTATCATAACTATACAATCACTGTCCTCACATGTCATAGTGTAAACCACCTTTAGTATGTAGGCAGTTGTATCATAACTATACAATCACTGTCCTCACATGTCATAGTGTAAACCACCTTTAGTCTGTAGGCAGTTGCAGCATAACTATACAATCACTGTCATCACATATCGTAGCGTAAACCACCTTTAGTCTGACGGCAGTTGTATCCTAACTATACAATCATTGTCATCACATGTAGTGTAAACCACCTTTAGGCTGTAGGCAGTTGTAGCATAACTATACAATGACTGTCATCACATGTCGTAGTATTAACCACCTTTAGTCTGTAGGCAGTTGTATCATATCTATACAATCACTGTCATCACATGTCATAGTGTAAACCACATTTAGTATGTAGGCAGTTGCAGCATAACTATACAATGACTGTCATCACATGTCGTAGTATTAACCCCCTTTAGTCTGTAGGCAGTTGTAGCATAACTATACAATCACTGTCATCACATGTCGTAGTGTTAACCACCTTTAGTCTGTAGGCAGTTGTATCATAACTATACAACCACTGTCATCACTTCTTACAGTGTAAACCACCTTTAGTCTGTAGGAAGTCACATATCGTAGTGTAAACACCCTTTAGTCTTTAGGCAGTCTGCGTGTTACTATGTCTGCTTTGATAATATATCACACAGTGTAAATGTGTGCAATTTGATGATTTTGATACATTTCAAGTTTCGGTAAGGATGGGTGCAAATTTGGGGGACCAAAATCACAAGTGGTCTCTGTTTGACAAAACTAAATGTGATATTGTGATAGTTTGTTGATAATCTTGATGTATTGTGTAACACTAAAGCTTCAAATAATAAAAATGGCCGGAAAAAGTAGCACATAGTTGTGTTGAGTGCAACTGGGCAAGCGGAGAGTCGAGATAAGGACAGGTGCAAGAGTGAGGGTGCTGGACCAATAGATTTTACCAATTTTAAAGTAAAGCCAGAAAATATGAAAGTACTGACTTTGTGGCTTACTGACATTATATATGTTATACGAATTAGTAATGCTGCACAAGGGTGCTCATCAGGATGAGGCTTATTCTATCACAGCTATTTCCTAAAACCAATAGCTGTACAGCCACATCCCGATAGCCACCCAAAACCAAGTTCATCCGAGCCCCAGCACTCGGCGAGACCAATAGATGTACAGCCACATCCCGATAGCCACCCAAAACCAAGTTCATCCGAGCCCCAGCACTCGGCGAGACCAATAGATGTACAGCCACATCCTGATAGCCACCCAAAACCAAGTCCAAACGAGGCCCAGCACCCGACGAGACCAATAGCTGTACAGCCACATCCTGATAGCCAACCAAAACCAAGTTCACCCGAGCCCCAGCGAGACCAATAGCTGTACAGCCACATCCTGATAGCCACCCCAAACCAACTTCACCCGAGGCCCAGCACTCGGCGAGACCAATAGCTGTACAGCCACATCCTGATAACCACCCAAAACCAAGTTCACCCGAGGCCCAGCAATCGGCGAGACCAATAGCTGTACAGCCACATCCTGATAGCCACCCAAAACCAAGTTTACCCGAGCCCCAGCACTCGGCGAGACCAATAGCTGTACAGCCACCTCCTGATAGCCACCCAAAACCAAGTTCACCCGAGGCCCAGCAATCGGTGAGACCAATAGCTGTACAGCCACATCCTGATAGCCCCCCAAAACCAAGTTCACCCGAGCCCCAGCACTCGGCGAGACAAATACACTTGTATAGCAGCCACACCTTATTGCCAAATGCATCTTTTTAAATCGTAATTCCTGCAGACAGAATACAGCAGCATTGTGTTCTGGAGATAGCCAAAGAATCTTACATAAATTTGATCAAAGCTGACCTCGACAGTTCCACTGGATGTTTATGTTTTGTCAATTTCATGATCCTCAGCTCCTTGGAAATACAGAAAAGTGAGGTGAAGAAAAAGAATTATTTGATCCTTGTGACGTTGAAAGTGAATCAAAGAATTCATTGGAATTAACTTCATCGTCCTCCCTTACTGCATGCTACAAGCAAAATCTCTTTATACTTCGTTATTCAAAGCTGCTGCCCATTAAGCAATATGTATCGTTTGTTGACTGTCTTACTTCAGCGCTATTCCTTATCTCACTGTAAGTGACAGTTACCATGAGCCATCAGTTACAGGGTCATCACATATGTTGGATTAGAATAAACATCTTAACAACAACAATGGAACTGTGAAAAGTCAACATTTATTTTTCATCATTAACAATCCTCTGTGTATAAAATTACAAATTAAATCATTATCAAAACCAAACCTTAAACTGGCTTGGAAAATGTTAAGATGGTGTGCATATTGGATAATTGTGTTAATAGGGGTCATAAAAAATGCTTAATGTTATAACTTATTTCTGTAGATATATTGACACTACATCTATACATTTTATCATGTTTTGATTATAAAAGTGTGACCGAGTATACATACCCTCGTTCCTTTAACACATGATTTTATTCATGAATAGACATCTATATCCATTAACCATGGTCGGGTGAAACAGTGGACACTGACACCTGTCATCACATATAGATGACCAGGGTTTGATACACTGACACCTGTCGTCACATATAGATGACCAGGGTTTGATACAACGACACCTGTCGTCACATATAGATGACCAGGGTTTGATACACTGAAACCTGTCGTCACATAGATGACCAGAGTTTGATACACTGACACCTGTTGTCACATATAGATGACCAGGGTTTGATACAACGACACCTGTTGTCACATATAGATGACCAGGGTTTGATACACTGACACCTGTCGTCACATATAGATGACCAGAGTTTGATACACTGAAACCTGTCATCACATATAGATGACCAGGGTTTGACTGTTGTCAGACATGAAAAGGTTAAGATGGTGTGCATATTGGATAATTGTGTTATTAAATAGGGGTTATATTTTTTTTTTAATGTTACAGCTTATTTCTGTAGATATATTGATACTACATTTATACATTTTGATTATTCCCTTATCAGACATGAAAAGGTTAAGGGTTACACTACTGCACACACAGTCCATTAAAAGATGTCATCAAAAACCTGTTAAAACTCCCTTAAATGCACCCCTTAATTCTGTTACATTTAATGACTGTTAATTCTATGGTGTACAATTGGCAGAAATCACTGTTAATTACCCGTCTGACCAACTGTGTTTATTTAGACCACCTACATGGTACCATCCTGGCCAGCAAGTGTGATTATCATAAGTTAACTGAACTAGTTTAATAACTGTTAAGTTTAATTTTGTTAAACATTTACTTTTGTAAAAAAAAAAAGTAATGATAATCTGCAATCAATATTCCTACAAAAGGAAATCCAACAATGCACTCTATATTTAACATTAATTGGGTATGTCAACCATATACTCATTCGTGTATTATGTCATTACTTTTGACCTGAACATGTATAGCCTGAGTGTATATAAACATCAAATGTTGTAAATACAGTATTAAAATTGCTTTTTAGATAAAACTTGTTCAGAAACTAAAACAAGGCAACCATGGCTTGGTCATTAAAACACTCATATCACAAATATCAGCTTAAAAAATCACTTTAAAATGTGAAAATCTGAAGCTGAAAGTTATTTTTTTGTTGAACACAGCATTGAAAGATTCATTAAGTTATAGAAATCAATACTTTATAATGGAATTTTCATAATATATTAATTCAGAAAAGTATTGTCTGCACTTAAAACTTAACAATAACAAAATATCAAGTAAATTAACAACATCAGGACTAGGAATATAACATCAGGAAATTTAACTCTACACATAATGAGGCAAAAAATTAACACACCTTTGACTATGAAGATGTATACACTGATATCATATTACTTTTGATTTTTTTTTTATGTAAAATAGATGAGTATTTTAAGCTAAAAATATGTAACTTTTTCATTTATGAAAAAAATAAATACCTTTTTATATACATTTAGCACAGTTATGTAGTCATCTTTAAGTTTGTACATTAATTTCCACTTGCTAATTATATAGATTATCAGGAATCAAGAGTCATCCCTAGTAACCCTGGGATTGATACTGCAGTAGCTGGCACCAGGCTTACTTCATGTTGGATGTGTTCATCCACTTCATGTTCAAGGTTTGGATTTTTTTCCATGAAGTTATCCCATGATGCTTTGCTGTCATCTGACATCTTTACGGTACTGCTGCTGTTGGAAGATTGCATCAAGTCAATGGTATTTGGAATGTTCATATCAACATTGTCAATGTTGTAAATCTCTTGAAAGTTGTAGGTATTGGAATTGTTTTCATCCTTATAGTAATAAGCCATGACAGACTCCTGTTCATTTGAAATGTGAAGGCACTGTTCAAAGGTATCAAATATGAGCTGACATGGGACCTGAGAGGCTTGCAGCTGCTCTAGGTCGGTACTGATATGCAAGTTCTGGCCCTGTCCCTGCGACTGAAGTTCAATCCCGTTTAGATCCATGTGCTCCATTCTACCCTCCAAGTGACGCAAGGACTGGATAGAATTTGGGCGGTCAGTCTCGAAATCAACGGCAAATCCAATGTTGAGGTTGCGAACGATTGGTTCCTCAGGGTGGGGTTGAAAAGGATCGTTGGAGGCAAGAGCTTTCTCTATGTCGCCACCACTGGGGTAGTTCACTTCTGTTATTGCCAACTGACAAGTGAATCTGTGAACAAACCATATCAAAAATTAAATCATATAATTAAATACCTTTTACCTAGATCATCTCTTTGTGCTGTGTAAAAATGCTTTTACTAAATCCAAAGTGATACTTGCTTTTATCCAAGATATTGATGTTTCCCCCCATTATAATGTGATCTTAACGATACCGATACTACTGCCAAGAACCATGCGATGTTGGACAATTGTTGTGATTATATACAATACAGCCACGGCGTATAACAAACATTATGTCTTACGATATTCCCAGATCCAGTAAAATAGCATGATTTAATTATATTGCTGAAGTAAAAGCAAATTTTATTCACATGCAAGATGTAAGAATATCAAAACACGTTATAACTTAACAAGTAAACTCGTGTTTGGACAAAAGTTGACTTAGCTAGAATGCATCATCATGCAACAATTTTTGTCTATAACTGATTAATTTACGACTTCACACAGCATCATAATACATAGAATGTTTGGTTCAAAACACATTTTACACAAAAATGTTACAAGTTAATAAATAGATAAAAAAAAATCTCTTTAATTACTTTATTTGATTTCTGAATGAAAAGGCAAACATAAAACTGTTCACAGTATCAATCTCAATAAAATAATATTGATGACATTTCTTCAAAAGAATGTACTGACGGTCTGCTTACCTTGCTGTATACTTGCTGCTGTGCCGGGACAGGTGGGACAACAAGGCCTGTAGGAGTTCTTTCCCTTCCTGACACATAGTCTGTACATCACTCGGCAATGAGGGCAAGTACTGTAGTACTCTATAATACAATGGACATGAACATATAACATTTGTATAAAACTACAACAAGTGACAGAGAAATCTCCTACCCGAGGGGTGATCTTCTTGATTGTCTTACCCCAGGCTTTGCCGAGGCCAAGACATTCGACAATAGTATCCAAAGGGTTGGAGATTTCTCTGTCACACCCTCAAGGTAGGGGATGATTGTTTTTCTCCTATCTTAGATACAAGCGTGATGTAAATGCATTGATGACATGTCATCATACTGTTAATATGACTTATATCATGACGTTCTGCACGGGGCTATCTCCCCCTAGGGGGTGACAAATAGAATCTTCCCCTACCTTGTGGGTGCAACAGAAAAATCTCCAACCTGAGGGGTGATGTTTTTTGGTTGTCTAACCCGAGGCTCTGCCGAGGGTTAGACAAACAAAAAAATCACCCAGAGGGTTGGAGATTTCTCTGTTACACCCTCGAGGTAGGGGATGATTATTTTTCTCCCATCCTATAATTTCAGTCACAGCTCCACCGACAGTAATCTGCCATGTTTGTTTACAAAAACACATGTGGGGTATGCATATCGTCATTCACTTTTGATGACATCACAATTACCGATGACGTATTTTAATGACGTCACAATTGAACACGTGCTAATCGGCACGAGGCTATCTCCCCCTAGGGGGTGACAAGCTGATCTTTCCCGGCTAAAACGTGAGACACACCTGTGAAGGGTGGGAGAAAAATGGATCTTCTCCAGCTAAAACAAGATATATATGTCTGTGAAGGGTGGGAAAATAGATGATCAATCATAAGCAAAGTGCCTTTGTGTATGGGAGATGTTTGGTTTTCATCAGATTACAACAAAAACATAATAATAAGCATTGTCTGTTGCCCAGGGCTCAACATTAATTTTTAAAAACCCTTTTCAATGGCGTAGCAAATCATTTTTCGAAGTGTATACCTACAGGGGGTCAAGCATCAGAGGTGTGTACCACCGGAGGAGGGGGAGGGTATGGGAGGGAGAGTTGCCCCATAGCTGGAAGAAAAGAATTCTACTAGGCCCTAGAAGCAATCTGCCGTGTTCTGGGAATTCCTTTTAGACTGATTATTAACAAGTAAAACCTGACTTTTTATTTGTGTACATGTACTTCACTACACAGTGTTTGATTTACATAAACCTTCGAGATTTATCAATGTGTATAGACAGAACATAATTCTATTTTGATCAGACTGAAATTTTGAAGAAGATTTTTTTTATTCATTTCGTTTTTTATGATTGATAGAGACGGTCCATGTTTATCATAAAAAACATAATAATTAATGAGTAAAAATATATGATTAAAGAAACAAATTCTTGAAAAATTTAGTGTACGCTTAAGCATACAAGCATACATGTATGCTACACCACTGCTTTTAATTGCCTTGTCTGGCAATTGAAATCAAAATTTACTTGCCAAAATCAACTCTCGACTTGCTCGAATAAATGGACGAAACAAAATCAAAACTCACAAGAGTGAGAAAACTATACACAGCCCGTACCTTGTAGGAAGAAATGATCTTGCATGTTTTATTAACAATGCAACTGAAAAGGTTTTACTGAACTTTAATTGATTTTTATATGCATGCTGATATCTTTTTGTCTACGTTGCTGTTTGCCGTAAAATGATTTAAATTGTCAATAAAACAACACAAAAATTACTAACAATTTAAATTGTCTCTAAACTTCTGAATCATGACTTATCATATTGTCACTGTCAAAATATAAAGGTCAGCAGAATTCTAGAACACTCTGCGTTCTGGAAACAATCGCAGCATGACAAGTAAAACATCAGGTCTGAATTTCCTTGTGTTGTCTATAGTCCTGGATGAGTTACCTCCCTTCGATCATTTGTGATCCTGAATTATTTCTACTGACACTTGCAGGTTTTGGAGCTTACTGTTATATAACCAGAAGTGCATGTGTGGTTCTTAATGTGTTTTGAAGCAATATTCAGTTGTGTGCTCCAGCACTAAGATGATACTAGGTCCCTTAATATAATTTAACAATTACATTGTTAAGTCTCACAATGCCCTGCAATATTTCAGCAGCAGCCATGTTTGTTTACATTGGCCATTCCGTGTTTATGAACATCTTTTGTGAGTAATAGAAGTCTACCATAAAATCTGTAAAAATATTTTATGATAAAGCTGAAGAATATTAAGTGAACGGACTGTCAAAACCATGATGTTCATAATAAAAAACAAACTTGATCAACAGTATTCTGTACTACCTACGAGTCCATTTAATGATTTGTACACCAAAACTGACAACAGTCCAAACCGGAAAATTGGTCACAAAGCGTGGTCATGCATAAAAGATTTCCAGGTAAATTCACAACATAGGGCAGCTCCACCATGGGTTCGTGTTTTTACAGGAGCCAGTATGGCTTTGAGAGTGGATTGAGAGGTTTTAAGAACAATACGGTAATTGCTGTTGATGACATGGATTTGAGGAGGTGTCAGATGTCACAGTTAGCTTTAATGAATCAATGTGTTACACGTAAGATAGAATCTGATAGTGTGTGTTTTCATTTAAAGAATCAAATTTGTGTATGCTCCATGACAGTGATTTGTTTTAGACTTGTATAGTACGAGTTCGGAGACATCGGGATTGTTCAATTTTTAAATGTAACACTTCAGAGATAAAACTCGACAGACTTGCAAATATAAATGCAGATCTGGAAAGACTTCGCTAAGACTAGCCAAAAACAACATTTAATCACAAGGCCCGTCCATATTTCGTAACGAATTTACAATATGGTCCAACCATTTTATTCACATTAAACGAAAATACGTTTTTGGAAATAATTTACTCTTTTTTTTGTAAGCGTGTTTATTGTAAAATAACATATCTGTATTTGTTATATTGATTACGTATATCATTCATTGATTGATTATAAGCATTGGCTATTAATACAAATCAACGACTGCTAATGTTATTTCCAAACAGCAAACTTCATACCAAATATATGAACATGCATATCTCGAATACTCGGATAACTCAAAGTTTTCCCATGACCCCGTCGACTTCGAGATAACAGGGTTAAACTGTATTAGTCTCATAAATCTTTTTACAAAATGTTTAAGTACTGTTGCCGGTAAAGTTTGCTCCCCTCAGGGTTGGTTTAATTCGCTCACCTTAGAGTGTAGGTGTAGAAGATGTCTGCAGGCAGTAACCAGGGGGTGCTTATGGCCAATATAAGACGGCATGCACGATTCTGTCGCACACAGCCAATAATTCCCTTGTTCATTGAGTCATAAGTTGCCTGAAAAGCTGAAAAATACATATTTTTTTAACAAAAACATGCATTTTGAATTCAAAAGTTATTTGAAATTTTACAATATTTGTTCTTCACTGGGTTTCCATTTCATATAAAATTTTTGAAACAAGTCGGGAGGTTTTCAATTTAGCAAGACTTTGCAACCGTAAACAGATAATTAACATCAATTCCATACATACTGTAAAAGTTTCATCAATCTTGTAAAAGTCAAAATCCTTTTAATAACAATTCTGACATCGCAATGCATGCTATATAGATGATGTAACAAGCAGCAACATACCATGAATTCATTCACTACATAATAAAACAGTCATGTAATAAATGTGGATTTTCAAAATGTAAGGAAGAAAGTTGCATTCTATTGTCTTAATTTAGCATGTTCATATTAACTCATTCACCCCTAAAAAAAAATAACAAGCCATTCAGATTAATATGTCTTGTCACTGCCCCGCTTTGACCATTGATGCAAACATCAGAGAAACTAACTTAAACGTAAAAACTTCATGTTGATGGACCGGAGATGCTGACAAAGTCAATGGACCATGAATGGTAGGCTGCATTTGATTCATGGGTTGAGATGTACTACCTCAGATGCATCTATAGATCAAGTTTGGTTGGTGTAGCACTTATACTTTCAGAGAAACTAACTTAAATGCAAAAACTTAATGTTGACACCGTCGCCGGAAAAGCGACACCTTAGTCTCACGGCGAGACAATAAACTATTCCAACATTTGAATTAGAAGAGTTCAAATGTGTCGCCAGGGGTGAATGAGTTAAGGACCAAAGAATATCTTATTTATCTTCACAAAACACCAGTAAGGTGATTTCATTTCTGAAGGACAGAGAACACTGTCAAAATATCTTATTCAAAATGAATTTGTTACATGAACAGAAACTCATGTCGACAAGTGATGTTTTCAACATATGGTATGATGTGATAAAAGATATTATTTCAAAATTGTATACACAAGTTACCTTCAACTACAGAAGGTGGGAGGGTGTCTATCAGAGCAACCTGAACCTTCTTTTTACAGTCCGCACATTCTTCATCTTGCTCATGATTCCCCTCACATAAATCGCTCATCTCTTCGTCAAAGGTTTCATCTCCTGAAGATAATTCATCTTCATCATCTATAGGGTCAGTAGAGGCAGCTTTTGAGAGCACTTTGGATACAGATACGATAGAGGATCGAACACTGAGGTGTCTTGTGCAAGAGATCAGATCTGAAATGCAGCAAAAAAAACATATAGCTAAGGTTATATATAGAATTAGGAAGATATACAATACCTGCCAATTGCAAGTGACACGATTTTGTCAGGTTACAACCAAATTTTAGCCCTTAACCCGCTTTATAAACTTCACATGCCAGCTGATTAAGATTTTGATCCGGATTTCGTCAATTTCAACCCTTTTCGTCCAGAATCTTATCGTACATTAGAATTCAAGTTACTGAAGTCATTCGGAGTTCTCTAGACTTTTACTATTTGTCGAAAGCGTAGAATGTATCTTTTGCATCATTTAAATATTTAAGCACCATATTTTACATCTACTTTTCTTATATTTGTTGCAAAAAGGAAGAAGCTATGAGGCTGACCCTCTTTTTTTTCAAAAGAGGGTCATCATCCTCTTTTAGTATATACAGAGTTGGCAGGTATGATATAAGGGTCCCCAAAACATATTCTTTAAGTTATATAAGAGTATGTACAAGAGACTACAAATTGGAGTTTCACATATACATGTTTGTGTGTACTACTTATACCAGAATTTGTTATACAAACAGTTCAGATTTGCAAAAAGTGATTTTAGGTTTAATTAGTAATTTTGTACACTTTCCGATATATTTTGGAAATTCTTATCAAATCGTGTGATCATTGAATTGAGATCAACAAGTAAAGTTGAACTTGATCGTTTAAATTATAACTTTGGGATTTTTTTGGCCTTGAGGCAGTCTTTCACAATGTATTCTCAACCACATATATCTCAAATAACCTTTTTAATTTTTATTCTCAAACATTTTTCCAAATAAAATGACTATGCGTTAAGTGACAAGCTGTTTACAAAAAAAATAAGTTCAATGAACACATTTGACACTCACTGTTTCTCTGTAAGAACCTGAGACAGTCATCGAAACCCTCCTGGCACATATCACTGAGGATTTCTGGGTGAGGCGGGAAAAGTGCACGACTCATGCGATACAGGTTGTCGCCAGAACACTGGAAGCTTGTGTTAGACAAGGTGATGTGCATCAGGTTAGCTGAGGAATCTCTAGGACAGATATCACTCTCGCCACAAAACGGTGATACGGTGATGGTCTCACTATTTAGCTGTGGGATGTTGTCACTCAAACCACCGTCTACGTACCTCTGTAGAACAAGCCAATTTTCATGATTTATATGAGTACTTATGTTTAATGAAGAGTATCAGGAACATATGTTTTAAAAGTAACCAAACAAATTTGAAAATATTCATAGGAGGAAAATAATTGAAAAAAAGAGGCCCAATATGCCTGCATCGCTCACCTGATACTAATCTTACACTTGCAACCTTAAAATTAAGCTACAGTCATCCATAAGAACCTGTTAAAACACTGAACACATTTGACCCCTGTGACCTTAAAAATCAAACAAGGTCATTTAGCTGGACAGACTTTTCATTTCAGCTTGCAAGTTGCAAAATATCATTACCCAATACCTTTCTTTTATTGAGGTGAGGTCATTGAACTGGCTAAAAATCACCAACCTAGATGCATTTTGGTTATTCAGCAGAAGACTTTTAAAGTAGGAACATATTTGACCCCTTTGACCTTGAATGTCAGTTAAGGTTATTGCTTTGAGCAACTCGATAGCCCTGCATATTAGCATGTTACTGGCTAAATATCATCACACTAGGCTTTTACTTTATTCATTTAAGAAGTCTTAAACATATTTGATCCCTGTGACTTTGCATATGGGAAAAGTTCATTCACATGAACATGCAAACTTCAATGCTCTTCATCTGAGCATGCTACTGACTGAATTTAACCACCTTAACTTAATTAAGCATTTTGATTTTTCAAGTTGTTTAAAAAAAATATTATATTTGACTCCTGTGGCCTTGAATATGAGTCAATCATTCTTTTGAAACCAACTCGGTATACGTATAGCCCTTCATCTATAAGCATTGTATTGGCCAAATATCATCACCCTAGGCCTTAAGCTTTTGGTTATTCAATAGAATTCTTTCAAAAGTTTTAAATTTATTTGAGCCCTGTGATCTTGAATATGTTTGCAGGTCATTCACTTGAACAAATGTGGTAACCCTTTATCCCTGCATGCTACTGGCCAAATATCACCACTATTGGCCATTTGGTAATTCAGAAGTTGTTTAAAGTTTCTTTAAGACGACTGAACCATGTGACCTTGAATATTGGAGAAGGCCTAGGTAATTCATTTGAACAATATTGGTAGCCTTTCATCCCAGCATGCAACTGGCTAGTTATCATCATCCTATAGCTACATGTAGGCCTTCAGGTTCAGAAAAACTTGTTTAAAAATTTTAACATACTTGACTCCAGTGACCATATTCATTTGAACAAATTTGGTAGCCCTAGGCCTTCATCCAAGCATGCTATTGGCTAAACATCATTACCCTAGGCATATTTGTTATCGAGAAGAAGTTGTTTAAAGAAAAAAAGTGGTTGAATTGCCTGACGAACAGATGACAGACACTACATTTACACCACAGCATAATTATATAATATAAGCTCACCTGGCCCTTGATAAAGGATAATATGAAATTAAACAATCATTAATACAGTGTACCTACACAGAGCACTTTATACGATTACAGATCTGTTGTCATGTTAAACATTTTGTCACATCAAGTTGTAACACATTATTGATATTAAGACTCAAAGGGATGTTGAATTTTTCAAACTGGTAGCTGGCCTGGAGAGTCCCTGCTGTATAAGTTAATTGACAGTCTTAGACTAGATACATTGTATATGCGATGGATACTACTTACCACGCCCCTAAATGAGGGAGGCACCAAGCCAGAGTACAGGGGGACAAAGGCACTGGTCAGGAGGGCCTGAAACACAGCAACATCTATAAACAACTATTTATAAACTTATTTATTCTACATGTGTACGTGAATGAACAGAAACTCTTTTGCTCATTTTTGTCACATACATCAACAGAACACATCCTATGGATGATTTTTTTTTATTTGAAACAACAATCTGTTTGCCGTACACATGCATGGATTGCCATAACCTAATTATAATATACAGTGTAAGTGAACGTGTCGTTCCTTTGGCCCGAGTCAGAACTATACTAAAGAAATTGTTCAGTTTTATCCCAAATTTCATCAGGTCCATATCCTTAATAATTATACATAAAAGATGATGTCTGCAAATTATCACAGCTACAGAATGCCTGTATTTTCCTGAATCAATTAATTTATATAATTACACCATCTCTTTGAAAATCAGGGGCAACAGCATAAGCTCTAGATCTATGGACTTCGCCCATCAAGATAAAAAGCCAATGGTTAGCTATATATACAGCATAAGATCATTTGGCACAGGCCTAGGTTGAGCTTAAACGACCATATGACTAAAAGGAAGTTTTTTTTATATTTCAGTTCAATACAAACCTGTATAAGTTCATCTTTGGACTCATACTCCGATATAATCACAGCCTTTCTGTCGGAGACCCGTGTCAGTGAGATATGCAGTCGCCCAGATGTAATCTTGTGGGCATTTTCTGGCAGCACTTCATTAAGAGCATCTCGTAATATGCGGTTGATATCGAAACTGGGGTGCAAAGGTCCTAAGGAATGATACCTGGCCTTGCTGGCTAGTCGAAGTGTAAAGCTTGTACATTTTCCTGTAAAAACATAAAATCAAACAAGTGATCGATGTATTATATACATATTGTCATAGGTCATACATGTACATGTAGTTTTATAAATATATAATTATAACTGTATACTGAGAACCTTTTGTCCAGTCAAATTTTCACAGGTATAATCTGTTCACATTTTATTATAATTATCTAGTACGGTGTGTTGTGTTGTGTGCTGATTTTCACTGTTGGTAATAAATTCGCCCTGATCAGGGAGGGTAAAAATTTTACAGGCGAAAGTGAAACTGCGACGAAAATGTTCAGTTACATGTATACAGTATAAATGATGTATGTACATGTACAACAAACATCAAATCTGTAATTTAGTTTAAACATCTATTGTTTTTGAATCCCTAAATCCAACAGTTAGATTTCTAAACCTGGAGAGTTCTGTCATGTATACCACGCAGTTAGATTAGACTGCTATCTAGATCTGTGGTCATATATACTGGCTCAGGAATGAGAGAAACATGATTGGTGTTTACAGAAATATTTCATTTAGATCTCTGTAAACAGGCAAGAGTACTAGCTTAATAGTGTACTTGTGGTTTTTAAGACCATTTTAGAAAACTGGGAATTTCCAACCAGTTACAAGATATGGTGCTTCTGGAGACTTTTTATCAATTGCAATTACTTGTCTTACGTACTTTAATAGTTGAATGCATAAATGTGTAATAGGAGCAGAAAATTAAAATGCACAGCTTGACCGGGGTTTGAACACAGGACCCTCCGAACTCTAGACAGATGCTCTACCAATTGAGCTACCTGGTCGCCGACGATCGACCCATGGCCAGTTCCCATACAAATGTATTCATAATACGTAATTAAGTTATAATATAAGCAAACTAAATATAAGTTATCTGAGTTAAAATTGCAATTCACTGTAGACTTTAGCATACACGTGTACATGTACATTGTATACACTGCATGACCTATATATAGATAGATATCTTTATCCTACTGATTATTGTCATTTGACATTATACATGTACATATGTACACGCAGGGCTTGACACTAACTTTTTTTGCTTGGTAGCTAGTCCACAGGACTAGTTGAATAGATTATATTAATTACTAGTCCTTTATTTGTCAATGTAACTAGTCCAAGATTTGCTGATAAGGAAACATCGTGATCTTCAGCACGAAACATCAAAAGTAATCGACTGTAGGGGACTTAAAATAATTACATGTACTGCCGTAAAAATATGGTGAAGTTTTAGGAATATTTTGACAATGATCATGCAATATATATTATTATTATTATTAAATATATATTATCAAGCTGTTTTCTAAATTTTAAAAAGAAATATTCTTATTTTATTATTATATTTTTCACAAGTCCAAGGAACAGTTATATATATATATAAAAAAATTAGGTTAGGTGATTCACTAGTCCTTGCTGAAATCTACTAGTCCAGGACTACCAGACTAGTGTTAGTGTCGACCCCTGACACGCATATATATAGATGTAGCCCGTGTAAGTCTAATTGACCTACTTCATCATATTGAAGATTGTGTCATGATCAATGTAGGTTGTGGGAGTGTACGTGTACATGTGTGCATGTGTTTGAAATACTAACTGGTTCAGAGAGTGAAGTTTGGTTTGAAAGATGTAAAGAGATTCTGAAGTTACCAGTTCAGGAATACCATTTTGCACCTTTTCCCCCGAATCTGCCAGTTTGTAATTAGGTCATGTTGTAATGTAATAAGATGTTACACACTGGAGGATACAGATGTAAACAAAATAGTATCATCGCTGAACAGCCTAACTGAGTTCTAAATTCTGCAGAAGTAATTTGGTTAGGTTTTGTGAAAACTGACTTGAATTGTTCATTTATGAAATTTCTGCCTTTGTGTAGGGTCCGTGAACAATCTGGACATCGGACGCATATGATAATTTAAAACTCTAACTGTTACAGTATATATATATATAGCCTAAAGGCTGGACTTTGACCAGACTGTAACGTTTATCCCTGCAATAGAAATTGTTCATAAATCATAACAGTCATGACACATATCTTTACATAACCGTCTTTTATTGTATACTGTCTTGTTCTGTTGCGCCTCGGGTTCCAGACGTACACTGTATACTGACCATGGTTACTGGTCGAAAGCCAATGGTATGGCAACCTTTGTGACCGACTGACCCACTAGCTTTCTCACCTCTGTATTACATTATACAACACGCCATTTTCCACCTGATTAGATCACGATTTCCGTATTTTTAATACATACCCAAACAGCAATCGCACATCAAACAGCAGGCAACAATGGCCCCAGCACTAGCACCTCCGAATTTCACATTGTCTACCAACTGTGGGACATGTTGTTTCAAACAGCTCGCAACTCCGACATGGTAAATTCCTAAAAATCCACATCCAGCAAAGGAGAAATTCATTCTCCTCACAATCAAACCTCTTCTTAACACAAGTATTTCATTGAAGTATTAATGTATATAACCTTACGGTCTCTATCTGGATTTCCCTTTCTATCTCAGAGAAAACTATTCAATAACGTTAACAACACCTTGTGCTACGAGGTGTCCATATTGGTTTGTTTGCCCACGTGACGTGTGGTTTAATGACGTTACCGAAACACCCCATTGCCTTGTAATTTGATTGGCTGAATGATACATGACATGACACACCCTCGGAATTTAAATACAAAGTTTATATGTCTACTTTCGTTTTACAATTGACGAATCAATGTTGTTTCGCCGCAAATCGGTGTTGATGCGCCCTTATGTGAATATTTTTTTGATATTTTAAATATTGTTAAGGATAAATGATGCATCGTAATTGGAAGTGGGAGTGAGTGGCGTCACCTTAGTTGGAATATTAATCTTGTGTTTACGAGCTACAGGCTGGTAAATGTGTAACGTGTTATACATATGTTCCAAAAGATATACAATTCTCTCTCTCTCTATATATATATGGGTCAAAAAAGTAATATAACCGTATGTTTATAGGATACGAATTACTTAGAATTTTATATTGTGCAAGGAAGTAATTCTTACAGTATGGACAATATGACGTTGTAAAATCTAAACAATCCGCCACGTAGCCTTTATCGAAACACTGAAAAAAAACTAAAAAAGCAATTACATTTCACAAAATCAATTTTAGAAATGATATATAGGATAATGCTAAATTATTTTGAAAACACTAAGCTCATTGGCTAACGTGAGCGGAAGGCATAATGTACACTGACCGCATCGCTGACCACTGATACGGTACGCGTGTGTGCTAACAATTAATTGATTGATTGATTGATTGCTAGGTTTTACGTCCGCTTCACTACCGAGTAGTTCGGTTATCCAGCAGACGATGTGCGAACAACGACAAAGAGATTAAATATACCGGGAAAACTGAAGCGTGTTCAAGATGCTGAATCTAGAAAATGACACGACGATTCGCAATCGTTCAAAGATGATGATTGGGACATGGCGGAATTTCCCGAAATATCTTTTAGAACGGTAAATATACACATGTTTTGCGAAAATTATCTCACCAGAATTTAGTGAGAGTGAGAAAAATAAGGATTAAAAGAGATGCAGTCGTGTCATTTTTCCAGCTTCAGTCTGTATGTACAGTGTATACGTGTGGGTAAACGGATTCCTGATAGTAAAATTTAAAGATGTATATACATACTTGCGAACTTTCCTTTTTTTGGAGGGAGACTACCGAAAGTACGATATCAATAGATTACTCGATCATTTATAACGATGTTTGAGCTTAAGATGATGTTGGAAGATGATTTTGATTCAGAATAAATGCATGTAATTGTATTCCAGTGATGCTGGGTGAATAAGCGAGAAGTTAAATTGGAATTCACCGACAGCTGCCGCAAAAACGTACGGCTGTACAGTTAAGGATTTCTCCATTACGGATTGAAAAAGCCAAGAAAACATTGTCTCTTGTCAATTTCTCGACATGAATTGTTCATAGGGAGTATCAAACCATATAATTATGAAGAATTTTGTGACAAGGTTACAAATAAAACTTACTTCACTTAATTGTCCCTTTAAACAGTGTTGATATTTATCATACTTTTAACAAACAATTGCCGATTTGAACATCTACAAACCTTATTTGATCTCTTTTCATTTCTTTTATTGGAAGCATCCTCAAATTGTGATGATTTAAAAAAAAAAGTGCAAATGGAGGAAGCAAGCAGGATCTAAAGGCAAAGAAGGATATTGTAAGTCATCAATGTAACAGCATGTTTGATTTGATTGTTTGGATCAAATAACGGGGAAATAAAACATCATGTTTCCCTTGGCTGTTTGTGCATCACCGGTTATATTTCCCTTATGTGGAGCCTCTCTAGAAAGATCAGCAAGAGATTCCACATCTGAGTTCGGAGTTGCTGAAACAGATGACAACACTGTTGCGGAATCCTGATTATTATACCCAGGGGCCCCCTAACTTCGTTGCGGGGGTATACTGGAATCACCCTGTCTGTCTGGATGTCTGTCCTCCACAGAAACTTGTCCGGAATTAATCCTAATTAACAGGCAGATTCTATTTAGACTTCACGTGAATTATTAGTACATTATGTAGTTGTTAAACTTCGCCTATATGTTAAGAGCCAAAATACCTCGAACAAGTTCCCATTCCAGTAAGTTGAACCCAAGGTCAAGGTCACTTAATGATGTATAAACTACCAGCAATTGCGGGGGAATTAGTTATCCTCCAGATGACAGTTCTGATTTTTTATATCGGTCTGTTGTCGGTTAATCGACGACAGACCGATATAAAAAAAAAGTCGATAAAACGTCAGAATAGTTCGGACTAGAGAACTAAGTGTCTGGATCAAACATGGGTGGATTAGATCTCAACCTTTGGCTTTGACTGCTGATTCCTTAGGATTTAGTCCCTTGGTCATAACATGGAAATGGAAATGGTAGAGACAGTCAATGATACACTATTGATATGTAATTACACATAGGCTACTGCAAGTGCGCTCAGGGTTCAGCCTAGGCCCATTTGAACTTAGTCAAGGCTCAAAATATTGAAATACATACAGTTTCATTATGCACATGTATAATTTGAGATTTAAACCCAACAACCAAACGTGTGCTTTCTTGGCATGAAGAAACACACACACTCATTATTGATGTAGTACCCTTAGGTCTATCCCAATCATTATTGATGTAGTACCCTTTGGTCTAGCCCAATCATTATTGATGTAGTACCCTTAGGTTTAGCCCAATCATTAGATCTATTTGCGTAGAATGACTTTTTTTCTGTCTAGAATGACTTTTAATGAAAATGTATTATCACGATTGCTTGGATATCAAAGCGATCTTCTTTTTATTAACAAGAATATATAACAAGGCATTAAAGGAAATAAATAAATTTTGACAAACTGTGGATGATCACTGCAATGTAAACACATAATTATGATGACGACAGATGCGAAAACTGAACAATCCTAAATGCACAATTTCTATAATTCTTGGAACGCCTCTGTCCCGTTAAGAGTAAAACTGGCAACAAATGATCAGTGTGCCGTGTCGACTAATGTTTCAACTATGAATAATACTTCAATCTAACGTACTTGAATATAATTATATGGTTATACTTGATGGCAATATCGGATACCTAACAAAGGAAGACATAACCCTGTCTGCCTATAGATTTCATTTTATAATTTAATTGGTGTTGCAGAAAAGGGACAAAATAATATATATATTATGTTTTGGTTAGCTTGTAATAATAATAATAAAAAAACTAACAAAAACAATAGGTCTTTTCACCAGTTGGTGAAAAGCTCTAAATATAACTATTACCAGAAGAAATAATGTACACTTCTCTAATTGGAGGTCAAGTTTGATCAAAATTGTATGTCAAACATAGTCAAAGTTAAACAGAAACTAAATAAAATTAATTCAACATAGAATCCAAAGTGAATATGACGTAACGTGAAATACTTATACATTGTACGTCATCTCGATGTCTTTCTCAAAGTCAGGCGGAAACTCTCTGCGTACTGAGCTTATCTTACCAAACTGTTTCAGAAAGATGTACTTCCACGATAAATAATTGATATCTTAAAAACGATAGTCACGTGGAGAATTGAGACGAAAGAATATATGAAATGAATTTCTCTTCACATAGATTAAATTTCGTTTTATAGCATTACAATTTTCTTCTGAATAGGTTAATACAAAACGCGAAAATTTATGTTACATTTGTAAATATGCAATAAAAAGTATGTGTGGGGATTCCGGAAATACTTTTAGTCCATTACTTTAGAAGGACTGTTTAATCTATGAAGCAATATGAAAATCCTTATGATTCCAAGTGAAAGGAAAGAAAAAGTACCTAACTTATTTCATTTTGTTCCATGTCTTATTTTCATTTATAACAAAGTTAATTTTTGTGATATAAAAAAATTCCTTGAAATATCAATTTGGTGCAGGTTCGGCCAATGCAACACATGGAATGTCGTGAACTTTATGACGTCCCAATGATGCGGATTCTAACGAGGGCCGAATTTACCCCAGACTGCCTGTCCGAACTTGACCCAAGGCGGGCCACGTTAAACGTTCCAGCCATCCAATCCTCCCGACAGAAAATTTAATTAATTCTTCATTTACAGACACGTATGCACGTTTGTTATTATTTTATGAAAAATCTCTTCATAAATGATATCAACGCTGCACTTTTTGCTTCAATCGGGAATCAATACTCGTTTACGGAAAGTGCCGACGATTCCCGATTGCTTTCGCTTGTGTTTTAAGCAAAACTCAAAATTTGTATGAGACGAAGTGTTGACAATTCGAAAAACAAATATGCATTCCGTTTGTTCTGTACATTATATGAGTCAAGTAGTGGTTGGAGAATCAAATACGCTATGGGAATCCTGAAATGTTTTATCGACTCTGTCGAAAGAAGGACGGACGAACGAGTGGACGGAAAGACGTGTGTTATTTTTTTTAATACGTGCTAAGCACAATAGAATCAACACTTTTAACCGGCTCAAATTTAAATGAAATTCACGTATGTTCCATTTTTATCATGGTTCCATTTGGCACGTACTAATCTAATTCCGTGGTACAATGCAGCTTGGTACGAAAACATCTTGCTTCTGTTGCCGGTGACCAGGTCAAAGGGAGATAACTGCATATATATTTGTGAAACTCTCATGTGCTGCTGTTTTAATTCCAATTTGCGCACGGGTTCGACACTCTGTTTACCTGTTTACCTCTTCTTCGACACCGTTGTTAGCTAAATTGCTAGTATAGGCGCATCTTGGTTTGGTAACATACTGTTAACCGGCTGTGTAGCATAAAAACTAGGATAAAACTTGGACGGTATATTTTTCCAACAAATGTTTAATCTAGATTTAAAACAGTTAATTAGAGATGGGGCTTCTACTACTGAATTGGGAAAGGAATTCCAAGAATCCACCACTCTTCTGCTAAAAACATTTTGAGTGACCCTGGTCCTGCTCTGTTTTTTGAATAGTTTTTTGTTGTTACCCCTTGTTGTTGTTTGTGTGAAGGTGAATAGTTTATCTTTATCAAGAATGTCGATGTTGTTTATTGCGCAAGACCTGTGTCGTTTGTCCAGATTTCAACTTTTAATAGAACAATATTTCAATAAACACATATTTTATCCCGGCTACATCGCAGAATTACATGTACTCTTTTTCCGTTGTGTCTTCAATTTCTGACGGAAACACATAGCGTTGGTCCGTATTTATGAAATCGTTCTCATGCTCAAACAAGGATTTTGTACTCAAGCCCAATTTCTTGCTCCGGCTATAGATTAATAAAAATAATGTTTTTTGTCAATGATACTGTTTCCAATGTTTACATTTGACTTTTTGATCGTTTGACATGATTTATACACAGAATTAAAACCACAGCTTGTGCATATAGTCCATGGCTGAGCATGAAAAAGCTTAGGTTTCATGAATACGGGCCCAATTGTCGCTTGTCCTGTCCTCGAATTTCAGTGGAATTCCAAGGTAAACAAATTGTCACTATGATAAGTCCCGAATTCGACTCCTACTGGAAGCACTCACTGCCGCTAGTCTTGGGTTACTCATAACAGAAGATATTTTTGTACTATAAACATTGTCACCAACGTGTAACCGCGTACACTTATTAGGTAAAAGACAATAGCATGACGTCATGATCGGTAAAATAGAGATACCCACTTGTGACGCCACATACTTGTTGCTAAGCTGCTTAGCAATCGGCGAAGGCAGAGATGATCAGTCTCTCCCCTGATATTTACTTCTTTTGTTTAAATCTTCGACTACCACAATGGATATCAGGCTATTCTTGATATTTGTGGTAATGACGTGCGCCCTGAGTCAAGGGCCTGCTGTATATCGGGACCTTACGTGGTAAGTTTGGACCAGACATGGTAAGATTGGATCTTATATGTTATTCCTTGACTTGACATTACGCAAAGATCTCGCGGAGCTCAAATTAACGTCAATAACCTTTTCAAGTTTACGATTGTGTTGCCATTGAATGTTTAGAAATATTTACTATTTACTTTATAATTTTTACTTTGAAGCGTGGAGCCGGAGCCTGGATATGCCAAAAGATTGTTTTATTATTTCACCGCAAGTGAAATTGAGAAAATCTGTCCAACGGTTACCGATCTGACATGGGTAAGGATTACATATTTGATATTAACGACTGTCATGCCGGTGTCGGTATTTAGGAATTTGCGAGTCAGAAACATTGAATTTTTGTATTATAGAACTTTTCCCTAAAAATAATTATGATTTAATTTATTTTAGCGAATTGGAAATGAGGTATTCTATAATCTGCTGTGTGTGCTTCTTACCCTGCTGTTGGGCTATGCGCCGTTGGTCGGGAAAGTCGTCAAAGAGAAATGGTCAGCCGCCGTGTTAATGTTCCGAGAATGGAGAGCTCGTAAGTAACCATTCATAATGTGATTAGATGTTTGTGATTCATTGTAATTTGGCATATTGTATTTTGAACCGCCTTTTCCCCAGTTTCTTTTGATGATACAAACATTCATTGTCAAATACTTTTCAATAGGTTCCAATGGCACAGTTTTATTCGCGAAAGTTGTTAACCATGTTGTCCGAAGTCTAGTATAATTATCGCTGTTCTCACTTTCATTTCTGTTTACCATGTAATTAAGCTCTTTTCTAAAGGTAATGTACTTTTTCATGAATCAACTGTTGTGGTCGGGTGGCGCGGTGGATAGCGCACTTGCCTTTCACCAAGGCATTCGGGATTCGATTCCCCGATCGGACGTGAAAAGGTATGGGGTCATCTGCTCTCAACCATATGGGTTTTGTTCGGGTACTCCGGTTTCCTCCCACATTACATGTAAGACCACCCGCGCCATATGGACCAACGGGAGTGATTAATATAGGTTAAAACAGTTTGTTTCATGATTGTTGTAAAAATAGAAAAAGTTTATTTAAATTTTTGTAAAATAGATAAAGTTTATTTAATTGTTGTAAAATAGATAAAGCTTATTTTAATTGGTGTAAAAACTACCTTTACTCGCCACCTTGCGGCTGATACACGATTTCTAATGGCTTGGAAACTATATCAGAATCTTGCATACATGTGTTCTCGGAGCATTGTTTTGATTAAATATTAAAGTGAATTGTTTGGTAACGTACAGTGTAATTGTAAACTTGTCAGGCTTTGATCTCAGAGAAGCTCTTTAATATTTTTAAAGTACGGGTACCACTTTCTATAAGCCTTATAATTGGTAAGATTTTGCGTGTCTGGAACCAGTCAGATAGCTAATTGTCAGTCCCCGATTCCTTTCTTATAAAATATAAGGATGCATAGAAAGTATTAATTTGTGTGTCGGAAACTTAAACCTTGAATAACGGAAATGTGACCAACCATAAATATGTTTGTACAGGTCTTTCCCTCTGCCGTCACTGCGGTACTGCCCCATGTCAGATTAAAAGGAGATCCTTGTGGAAGCCCTCCGGCACTCGTGAGAAAGACAAGGCGAATTTCGCAAAACGGTCAAACGCCATGATGTTGTTTTACTATGGACTAGAGTTGTCCGTGGTACTGACCAAAGAGCTGCCATGGAATGACCTGTACTTGGAGAGGAAGTTCGTCCAGCATTTTGAGGAGGAGCATATGGCATTGTTCCCAGTGTGCATCCAGGGTCAGATCAACTACTGGTACCCTGTCCCTCGCTAGGTATGTACTCTGCCCCTCAACAGGTACTATGTCCCTCGCTTGATTGGTTTTATATCCATATCTATGTACTCTGTTCCTTGCTAGATTGGTACTATATCCCTCGCTAGGAACACTGTCACTATCTAGGTATTATTTCCATTACTAGGTAGGTACTCTTCCTCTGTAGGTACTCTCCCTCTCTAGGTACTATGTCCCTCACTGGGATCGTACTATATCCCTCTCTAGGAGCACTGTCACTCACTAGGTATTATGTCCATTACTAGGCAGATACTCCCCTCTGTAGGTACTCTCCCTCTCTAGGTACTATGTCCCTCACTGGGATCGTACTATATCCGTCTCTAGGAGCCCTGTCACTCACTAGGTATTATTTCCATTACTAGGTAGGTACTCTTCCTCTGTAGGGACTCTCCCTCTGTAGGTACTATGTGCCTCACTGGGATCGTACGATATCCGTCTCTAGGAGCCCTGTCACTCACTATGTATTATTTCCATTACTAGCTAGGTACTCTTCCTCTGTGGGCACTGTCCCTCTCTAGGTACTACGTCCCTCACTGGGATCGTGCTATATCCGTCTCTAGGAGCCCTGTCACTCACTAGGTATTATGTCCATTTCTAGGTAGGTACTCTTCTTATGTCCATTACTAGGTAGGTACTCTTCCTCTGTAGGTACTCTCCCTCTGTAGGTACTATGTCCCTCACTGGGATCGTACTGTATCCCTCTCCAGGAGCACTGTCACTCACTAGGTATTATGTCCATTACTAGGTAGGTTCTCTTCCTCTGTAGGAACTCTCACTCTCTAGGTACTATGTCCCTCACTGGGTTGGTACTATATACCTCTCTAGGAGCACTGTCACTCACCAGGTATTATTTCCATTACTAGGTAGGTACTCTTCCTCTGTAGGGACTCTCCCTCTGTAGGTACTATGTCCATCACTGGGATCGTACTGTATCCCTCTCCAGGAGCACTGTCCCTCACTAGGTATTATGTCCATTACTAGTCTTCCTCTGTAGGTACTCTCCCTCTGTAGTTACTCTGTCACTCACTGGGATCGTACTGTATCCCTCTCCAGGAGCACTGTCACTCACTAGGTATAATGTCCATTACTAGGTAGGTACTCTTCCTCCGTAGGTACTATGTCCCTCACTGGGTTTGTGCTATATCCCTCTCTAGGAGCACTGTCACCCACTAGGTATTATGTCCATTACTAGTCTTCCTCTGTAGGTACTCTCCCTCTGTTGGTACTATGTCCCTCACTGGGATCGTACTACATCCCTTTCTAGGAGCACTGTCACTCACTAGGTAGGTACTCTCACTCTCTAGGTACTATGTCCCTCACTGGGATGGTGCTATATCCCTCTCTAGGAGCACTGTCACACACTAGGTATTATGTCCATTAGTAGGTATGTACTCTTCCTCTGTAGGTACTCTCCTTCTCTAGGTGTGCTATATCCCTCTCTAGGAGCACTCTCCCTCTGTAGGTACTATGTCCATCACTGGGATCGTACTGTATCCCTCTCCAGGAGCACTGTCCCTCACTAGGTATTATGTCCATTACTAGTCTTCCTCTGTAGGTACTCTCCCTCTCTAGGTACTTTGTCCCTCACTGGGATCGTACTATATCCGTCTCTAGGAGCCCTGTCACTCACTAGGTATTATTTCCATTACTAGGTAGGTACTTCCCTCACTGGGTTGGTGCTATATCCCTCTCTAGGAGTACTGTCACTCACTAGGTATTATGTCCGTTACTAGGTAGGTACTCTTCCTCTGTAGTTACTCTCCTTCTCTAGGTACTATGTCCCTCACTGGGTTGGGGCTATATCCCTCTCTAGGAGTACTGTCACGCAGTAGGTATTATGTCCGTTACTAGGTAGGTTCTCTTCCTCTGTAGGCACTCTCACTCTCTAGGTACTATGTCCCTCACTGGGTGTGTGCTATATCCCTCTCTAGGAGCACTGTCACACACTAGGTATTATGTCCATCACTAAGTAGGTTCTCTTCCTCTGTAGGTACTCTCCTTCTGGATCGTACTGTATCCCTCTCCAGGAGCACTGTCCCTCACTAGGTATTATGTCCATTACTAGGTCGGTACTCTTCCTCTGTAGGTCCTCTCCCTCTCTAGGTACTATGTCCCACGCTGGATTGGTACTCCATCACTAAGTAGGTTCTCTTCCTCTGTAGGTACTCTCCTTCTGGATCGTACTGTATCCCTCTCCAGGAGCACTGTCACTCACTAGGTATTCTGTCCATTAATGGGTAGGTACTCTTCCTCTGTAGGTCCTCTCCCTCTCTAGGTACTATGTCCCTCACTGGGGTGGTACTACATCCCTTTCTAGGAGCACTGTCACTCACTAGGTAGGTACTCTCACTCTCTAGGTACTATGTCCCTCACTGGGATGGTGCTATATCCCTCTCTAGGAGCACTGTCACTCCCTAGGTATTATGTCAATTACTAGGTAGGTACTCTTCCTCTGTAGGTTCTCTCCTTCTCTAGGTACTATGTCCCTCACTGGGGTGGTACTACATCCCTTTCTAGGAGCACTGTCACTCACTAGGTATTCTGTCCATTAATGGGTAGGTACTCTTCCTCTGTAGGTACACTCCCTCTCGAGGTACTATGTCCCTCACTGGGTTGGGGCTATATCCCTCTCTAGGAGTACTGTCACGCAGTAGGTATTATGTCCGTTACTAGGTAGGTCCTCTTCCTCTGTAGGTACTCTCCCTCTGTAGGTACTATGGCCCTCACTGGGATCGTACTGTATCCCTCTCTAGGAGTACTGTCACGCAGTAGGTATTATGTCCGTTACTAGGTAGGTTCTCTTCCTCTGTAGGAACTCTCACTCTCTAGGTACTATGTCCCTCACTGGGATAGTACTGTATCCCTCTCCAGGAGCACTGTCCCTCACTAGGTATTATGTCCATTACTAGGCAGATACTCCCCTCTGTAGGTACTCTCCCTCTCTAGGTGCTATGTCCCTCACTGGGATCGTACTGTATCACTCTCCAGGAGCACTGTCACTCACTAGGTATAATGTCCATTACTAGGTAGGTACTCTTCTTATGTCCATTACTAGGTAGGTACTCTTCTTCTGTAGTTACTCTCCTTCTCTAGGTACTATGTCACTTACTGGGTTGGTGCTATATCCCTCTCTAGGAGCACTGTCACACACTAGGTATTATGTCCATTAGTAGGTAGGTACTCTTCCTCTGTAGGTCCTCTCCCTCTCGAGGTACTATGTCCCTCACTGGGTTTGTGCTATATCCCTCTCTAGGAGCACTCTCCCTCTGTAGGTACTATGTCCCTCACGGGGATCGTACTGTATCCCTCTCCAGGAGCACTGTCACTCACTAGGTATAATGTCCATTACTAGGTAGGTACTCTTCCTCTGTAGTTACTCTCCTTCTCTAGGTACTATGTCCCTCACTGGGTTGGTGCTATATCCCTCTCTAGGAGCACTGTCACTCACTAGGTATTATGGCCATTACTAGGTAGGTACTCTTCCTCTGTAGGTACTCTCCCTCTCTAGGTACTATGTCCCACGCTGGATTGGTACTATGTCCTTTGCTAGGTTGTGAAATTTCGTGTAGGTACCATTCACTCACTAGGTAGGCTACCTTTTACAGACTGGGTACGTTCCTCCCCAAAATAATAATAATAATAAAATGGAAAATATTATTTTGATTGTAAATAAACAATTTAATGAATATATTTTCAATGAATTTTCCGTGATGTACTTCCAACAATCACGACAAAAAAATCTGAAATGGAGAACGGATAGATTGTGCTTAAAGTTTACATGGGTTTTAAGCTTGTTATTTGTTTATTTATTGCAGATTTGTTGTGCCGTTCAAAGAGGAGAATGTGGATGGCAGTCGGTGATGGAATAGAAGTTTGATGAATGACGTACGAGTCTCGTTTTGATCGTCTTAGTTTTTTGGGGTCACGATACGATCCGATTGGAATGGTGTTTGACCAATGATACCCATAGTGTACCTTATATTTGTTATATTAAATTGTAACTCTCTGGATCTTGACCACTAGTGGTCCAATGAAGAACTGAACCGATACCTGATGAATTTGCCATTTAAAACTTAGCTAGTGTTGACCAGCAGTGGTCCGAATTATAAATTTCGATGGTGTTGAATCGTTTGATTGGTCAGTTGCTAACATTTTTCTATTGACCATTATGTGGTTTGAGAAGTTGTGGAGCCGGAATTTGACCATGTAGCATTGGTCAGTTTGAAGTCAGTTCATCTTGACTGAAAGGATTTTCATGAAAAAAGTGTCATGCGTTTGTTGAATAAGTACATGTCAGTTCTATTAATGTTGATATCGACCTGTAATGGACCACCTTAGATGTTTCAAATAATTGTGTTCTGGTCAAGCGATATTGGTGTTTTAGCGGACATTTGCCATATATAATATATAGGTCAGTTAAAACCACCAGTGGTTTCGCGCTGATTGCGGCTATTTTTTGCGGAAGGTTCTAACTCTCTTGGACCTTTAACGTGTGCTTGGTATTTTTGCTAATCAAAATGAATTGATTCTGCAATGGCCACTTATGGTCTTAGGTGTTGTCGTGGTCAGTTATACATTAATTCAGTCAAGCTGATCACCAGGTTCTGTAGAATTACCAGCATGAAAAATTCTGTTCGTTTTGCATTAGTCAGTTTTGTTCGTTTTGTATTGGTCAGTTTTGTTCGTTTTGTATTGGGCAGTTTTGTCCTGGCGAATTTTATGTAGTAACAATCATGTTATAAATAAAATATCTTAAAATTGATTTTCGTGTTCATGTTATAGTTTTGTTACCGTCGTTTTAAATATGTTATAGATTCGTAAAAACGTATGAAATGTCATATACATTGAAGTGAGAACGAACTTATATTACCGACACCTCGGCCCGTATTCACGAAACCGTTTCCATGCTCAAGCATCGATTCTGTGCTCAAACCAACTCTTTTACTCGCTTAAATAATGTGACACGCTCAAAAAGTTAATATTGAAAATATACTTATAAAAATGATAAAGAAGCTATTTAGTAAAGTTGGTTACCATCATATACATCAAGTTGTAAACATTGATATGCACTCAATGTATTATTTTGTCCAGGGCCCGGAACATGAAACCATTCTCATGATCAAGCATAAATACTGTGCTCAGACAAACTTTCTTGTGACTCATTTAAATCATATGACATAGTAAACAAATGTCCAGTGGAAACAATGCAAACGGTATATGGCTTTAAGTTGCTCCACAATTCTTGCAAATTATTGACAAACAAGTATTTTTCATTATTTTATCCATGAAACAAGAAATTGTGCTTGAGCACATAATCTGAATTTGAGTATCAGAACAGTTTAACGCATACGTACCCAAGTCCCTTACGTGTGAGTACCTCTTCAGATGGCCGAATGACTTACACTAAGGTCAATTACAGTACCCATCTACAAGGTATATACAAGGTTTGGACCCATTATATATTTTGAATAACAAAGTTTGCCCAGAAGTTGAAGATTATGGATTACTCGCGATATTAAAATCAGCATTTCAGAAATCCATGTTATATTATAATTATATTTCACAGGTCATTGGATCCATCATAGGATCACAGAGTGGAAACGTGCTAGATTATTTGATTCTAAGCAGATGCTGTCATATGTGTGAATGTGCAGCAAAAATGTTAAGGAGCCAAACCATAATGGACTTGTAGCCGGATATGGTGGTAGCTATGTTGAACTCTCTTTCAACAGATCATAATTTCCATGAAAAGAATATCGTGATGGATGAGGACACATCCAACATGAGAAATAGAAAGACTACATTCGATTCAAATATATATATAAAAAAAAAACATAGTTACAAAAATCATATTTGTATAATTTTACAAATAAGATAAATGAAATTGAAAATAAATTTCTTGGACAAACAATAACACATTTGATTTGGCTTGGTTTGATTTTATTTCGTCTAACGACCTATGAACGGCTAAGGTCATTTAGAGACGTGCCTCCACGTGTGTTGTGTAAGCGTGCATGTGTGTATGTGTGTATGTGTGCATGTGTGTATGTGTGCCGGAGAGAAGGTGTGTTGGTGAGCTTGCCTCCTTGTGATAGCGCGGATCTGATGCTGACTTTAGCTGGTATGAAACAAAACCTTGACTGTTTAGTGCCAAGTTTGTTCTAGGATCACTCCCTGTGTAAGGAGTTTTGGTGTCGCTTACAATCAAATGCAATTGCCAAATATCTTGATGGAGATAGTCTAAGGAAGAACTTTAATTCTATAGCTCAAGGTTATATTGGGCAGTCTGAGAAATTGGCGAACCATGGATTAACACAAGGAAAAGACCACACAGTGGCATTCAAATAACAAATATCTTCTTTGTCGGATCAGGGAGCACTTTTAGTGCAGCGGCAGCCAGCAACAGCTTACATAAATACAAGAAAACAATAGATGTTGCAGATAAAAAAAGGTTACATCACTGACACACAACAGTATTGAAGCTTCTTGAATATGATGATTTTACTGATAATGACTGACTACAATGAACTTGTTACAATATGTTGGTATTTTTACATTCCTTTATCTCTTTACATCGTAGAGGGGTATAGCAGTCAGCTTGCCCATCTGCCCGTGTGTCTGTCAGTAGTCACTACATTCGATTTTACCTTATCTGGAGTTCATCCTTTTTCTCATGAATATTTTAAGTCTGAGGTGATCAGTACCCGAAACGGGAAGGTTTACGACCTACGACCTCCAATATTCGAATTGAGGCGTTATATTTTATAGAACTGAGCTTAATCGTGCTTATTTTTACCTAATGTATCATTTAAAATCGAAGCTATGACTTGGAGAATAATATCCTATCGGTGGGATATCCTGTCATGTCGACCCTACTTATGACCTAACATAATTTTGATGTTTCTGTTTTTCGTTTATCATTCATTTTACGCCATCTTTAGCACAAAGTTGGACAAGACCTTACTTAACAGACGAGCGAAAGAAAAATTGAAAAATCTTTTCTTCTTTTCGAGATATCGAGGCTAGCTCGAGCCAAGTCGCTAATCCCATTTTTGAAATTGTGACCGACCATTGAAAACAGACTAATTGTCTCACAGACGTCTAACCGACTTCGTTTGATTCAAAAAACGATTTCTATTTGGAAAATCAAAGCTTTAGTTTGATTTATTTTCTAATTTGGTTGGATACTTTAACTAAACCTAATTTGGTCTCAAGAAAAAAGTCCCTACACGTTTAGCACCCTAACATTTTTCTTTTAGATTTCGAAGATCTTCATCGAATTAACTCCAGCTTTCGATATAATGTTTAAAAAAAACTAAAGCATGTTTGATCCAAATAATAGAGAGATTGAACTATTTATGACCTAGTTAATTGACAAAGACTTGTTTTCCCCTGGCGATTAGCGACTTGGCGTGACATTTTTGTTCTAGACTATAGAACGTGGATATCTCGGCATTAAAATGTGCAGTATGACATTCGTTCTACGCAACATATCAAAAGGACTGTTCAAAATATTCGCGAACAAAAAAAGGTATCACAAGTTTATTAACGGTCCCAAAACTTAGCGACCTGTAACCCTAACCCTAGCTATTGAAGTCGCTAATCCAATTTTTGATTGAGCATTGAAAAAAAACCTAATTGTCTCACAGACGTCTAACCGACTTCGTTTGATTCAGAAAACAATTTCTATTTGGAAAACTTTAGCTTGATTTATTTTCTACTTGGTCTCACGAAAAAACATTTAGCGACCTAATACTTTTCGTATAGTATTCGAAGTTCTGCATCGAATTAACTCCATGTTTCGATAAAACGTTTTAAAAACAATCGATCCGAATATAAAAGAGAAAAAAACACTCACTATTCATGACCTATTAAATTGGCAAAGAAATTACACGCAACGTTAGTTTATGTCAGGGTTATTTTAGTACTAAAATGTTGTCACATATTAGCGTCTTGTAATATAGGCATAAGGTAAAGAAGTGGGACCTTGACTTTTCTTATTAATGATACTAGACACTCACTTTTGGATAATTATGCTCAATTAAATGAGATATACATGAATATATATTAATTTCGTGTTCATGTAAACATTAAATAACTTTTCTGATGATCATCAACTTGTAGATTTTTGGTCTTGAAATTTGGCGAAGTCGCTTATATGTGATCGACTTTTTGGGACTGAAATGTACTTGTATAAAATATCATGTCAAATGCGGAGTTATAACAGTTTCACCATAACATTACACACAGCGTTTGTTTACATCAAGGCCATCACACACATATCAAAGGCAGACGTATACAAAGTAAACTATTTTTTTACGTTATTAACGTTATTTTAGTCCTTACATGTTCATCCCATATTAGCGTCTTGTAATATGGGATTTAGGTAAAGAAGTGGGACCTTGACTTTTATTTATGATGCTAGACACTACGTTCTTGGTTAAATGAAGAGATATTAATTTCTGGTGTAAAAAAATAATTAATATATTTTCTGATGATCATTCTGAAGTCGCTAATTTCTTATCAGAATTTTGGGACTAAAATGTACATGTATAAAAACTCGATACCATATTCGTAATTATTCCATTTACACTTTCAAATTATATAAAACGTTAGTTTATGACAGGGTCATCACATACATAGCAAAGCAAGATGTAAATACCTTAAATTAATATCGTCACTTACAACTTATTTACCCTACAGCTTTAGAAGCAAATAAGGAAAGTTTATGTCAAAATACGCAATTTACTAATCCATGTGACTTATCAAAAGAGCAATCAAAAACATTCATGAATAATATTTGTCTAATTTAGTACGAAGTTATTTCAGTCCTGAAATTTGGATCACACATTATCGACTTGGCAAGGTCAAGAAGTGGAACTTGTTCTCAGGTCGATAATTGTGAGTGGACATTATATGCATCAATAGGTCGCTAATTCGTGATCCAGATTTTAGGACCGAAATTTCACTTGGTAAGGTCAAGAAGTGGGACTACTTTCTCAGGTCGATAATTGTGAGCGGACTTTATATGCATCTCCAAATATCGAAATAGGTCGCTAATTCATGATCCAGATTTTAGGACCGAAATAATTTGAGTCCTTATATATGTAAATTTGGATCACACATCAGCGACTTGGCAAGGTCAAGAAGTGGGACTATAGCTTTTCTCATTTATTATGCTAGTCTCTCCGTTTTTGGTTAATTTTCACAATTCTACACAATAACAGTAATGTAACGTAATATGTCATAGAACATTGTCGAGATGTGTCATGATCGATGTCGCGACATCAGATCTGGTGTGTCGCAACAAGTGTCCTCTGCTTTTTTGGACTTTTTTTCTCATTACCATGGGAATGTTGCAGAGTTTGGTTTTAATGATTCGAAACATTCTTCTGATTCAGAATCTCCCTTCATTTGTCAATATCTGAATAATTATGAAAAATATCGACCGACAAGCTGCCTCGGTCATGTCGCGACATGAAAAATAGTCAAATTTTTTGTTTGACTTAGTTAACCGATATATTTCCATGAAACACAGGAACTTTGTTCGAACACTCAGGCGCGTAGCTGGGCTCTTTTGGATGTGCATGCAGAAAGTCGCACCGGAGGTGCGAATGCGAGCAGCCATTCTAGGGTGGTACGGGGGCATGGGGGGATTTGTTTTTAGTTATAGAAGCTCTGTCGTGCCATCTGGTGGCTTTTTAGATACATATTTTAGTG